ATGACTTGCAGCGTTGTGTTTGCCAGTATCTTACTGAAGAATTTTGCATCTATGTTCATTAGGATATTGGTGTGTACTTCTTTTTTTCAGCTGCGGACGGGCTTCTCTTTATAGGTAATTTATTTGTTTTCCACAGTAGCTTTTAAGATTCTATTCTCGTGTTGAATTTCTACAATCTTGACTATGATGTGCCTGGTTGTAGATATTTTTTGATGGTTTTAGTATCAGGGTAATAATTGCTTCCAGGAATGAATTTGGGAGTATCGCTTCCATTTCAATTTCATTAAGAAGTTTGAGAAGTAGTAGTGTTATGTCTTCTCTAAATTTCTTGAAGAATTCAGCAATGAATCCATCAGGGCCTTGGCTTTTCTTTATTGGTAGGTTTTTAATTACATCTTTGATTTTATTTATTGATATTGGTTTATTTAAGATTTTATATCTTCTTGATTCAGCTTTGATAATTCATATTCTAGGAATCTGTCCATTTGTTCTGCATTTTCCATCTTAGAGTTAGTTTTCAATGAATGGATAGATGATCTTCGGGATTTCTGCAGAGTTTGATGTGATTTCACCCTTTTCATTCCTAATTGCATGGCTTTGAATTTTTTCTTTCCTTTTTTTGATAAGGATGGATAAGCATTTTTAAAATTTTATTTAGTTTTTCAAAAGCCAATTCTTTGATTCACTGATTCTTGTATTGGTTTTTTAGTCTTCAGTGCATTAGTTTCTGCTCTGATCTTTATAATTGCCTCCCTTATATGAGTTTTTGGCTTAGCCTGCTTTTCTTTTTCTGTAAATTTTAGGTTCACCATTAAGTTATTTTTGCCTACTCTGTTTTCCTGATGTGAGTATTTACTGCTGTAAATTTCCTCCTTAGGACTGCTTTCATTGTGTTCCATAAGTTGCAGTATGTTGTATTGTTGTGTTGTTATTACTCAATTTACAAATCATCTGATTTCTTTTTTAATTTCACCTGTAGTCCACTGGTTGTTCATGAGGTTGCTATTTAATTTCCATGTGTTTATGAAGTTCTTGTGGTTTCTTTTCTCATTGATTTACAATTTCACTTCACTCTGGTCTGATAATATAAATGCAATAATTTCAGTTCCTTTGCATTTACTTAAGCATGTTCTGTGAGCTAGTATGTAGTCTATTTTGGAGAACATTTAGTGTGCAGTTGAGAAGAAAGTGTATTCTTATGTTGTAGGGTGGAGCACTTTGTAGATATCTGCTAAATCCATTTGTCCAAAAATTTGGTTCAATTCTAAAATTCAATGTTGATTTTTTGTCTAGTTGGCCTGTCTTTTTGAGACAGTGTGGTATTAAAATTCCCCAATACAGTTGTATTTAGTGCTTCTTAATGTTTGTTTTATATAATTGGGTACAGCAGTATTTGATATATATATATATATATATATATATATATATATATATGATTGTTATCTCTTCTTGGATTGTTCCTTTCATCAGGATGTAGTGACCTTCTTTTAATCAGTCTTGGTTTGAAATTCACTTTGTGGGCAAATAGAATAGCTGCCCTTGCTTTTTTCTGGGTTCTTGTTGCATGGAGTATTGTTTTCCATCCTTTGACTTTCAATCTGTGAATTTCTTTTTGAATTAAATGTGCTTCTTATATGCAGCATATTGTTGGGTCTTGCTTCTTGATCCATTCTTCCAGTTTGTGTCTTTTGATTTATGAATTGAGACCATTAACATTGATAGTTGTAACTAATATGTATTGACTTGTTCTTGTCATTATTTTCCTATTTTTTGCCCCACTCCCCACTCCTTCTGTTTAATTGTTGACTTATCTGGTAGAGTCTTTCTGTTGAGTTTCATGGAGTTGTAGTTTCTCCTTGTAGAATGTCCTTCAAAACATTTTGGAGTGCTGGTTTGGTGATCATAAATTTCTTCAGATTTTTTTTGTCATTGAAGTATCTTATTTCTCTATCAGTTCTGAAAGATAGTTTCACAGGGTATGTCAATCTAGGTTGAAGGCTGTTTTTCTTCAGAACTTGAAATACTTTAAGCTCCCGTTGATTTAAGGGTGCTGAGAAGTTAGCTGTGGTTATGACGGGCTTCTCTTTATAGGTGATTTATTTGTTTTCCACAGTAGCTTTTAAGATTCTATTCTTGTGTTGAATTTCTTGACTATGATATGCCTGGTTGTAGATATTTTTTGATCATGGCTAATTGGAATTCAATATGCCTCACTTATCTGTATGTCAAATTCTTTTTCTGTACAAGGGATGTTTTCTGCCATGAAGTCTGTGCACGTTTTAAAATGTCATTTGTGCTATCTCCTGATTTTTCATTGATTCCACTTAGTTTTGACTTATTTTTCTTTGCCTTTTCTAGCAGTTGCTGCATTGATTTCTCATGGTCCTTTGCTCTTTTTGAGAAATCTTTCTTTTCATGATTGCTAACTGCAAGCCTCTCTTCCATATCTGAGATCTTCTCCCCACATTGGCCTAATCTGTTTGCAAGTACTTTCAGTGGAATTTTATTCTACTGGATATCTTCTTGTATGTTCATATGGTCTCCATCTCTTTCCTATGCTATGCATTTACGTCTTCCATAATTTTCTTAAGCTCATCTATTTTTTTGTATATATCTGCTATAGTGTCACTAAGTATGGTCTTTATTTTGGACATCATTTCTGCTGTTATCTGAGAAATTATTTCTGATTTGATTTTTTTTCCAGAGCCTGATTCAATTGCTTTGTTGTTACCACTTCAGAGAAGCTGGGTAGGAGGCTCTTGGATTGTCCCACCTCACTGTCCCTTGTGTTTGCCTTTGTTGAACTGGATATCAAGGGTTGTATCTTGCTTAAGTGTTTTCTCATTTTTTTCCATTTTTTAGTTTAATTCCCGAGTGATGCTTGTAAATTGCCCTGTGTGGGTTGCTTTATTGCTAGAATATATGACCCTCAGTAATGACTGCTTCTCTGAGGTGTGGCTGGTTTTTGGGTTTTGAGTCTAAGTTCCTATCTCTTAAATTTGTTGGAGATGCGAAGTTGCTTCTTATTTGACCCAGTCCCTGGTTCTTTGGCCCTGTGCACAGTATTTTCTGTGACCCTTAGTCAATCTCAATCATGGAATTCAAGAACCAGAACAATTATGTTACTTTTGGTCCTTGTGGTTCCATTAGCAACAAACAAATCCTAGAAAATGACAAACTGAACTAACCATTAATTTGCCACTTTTAACCATATAAACTAGATTTGTGGTTTTATAAAAATATCTAAAACAAACCAGAAAATTATATGCAGTATACAAGTCCTTGATGTGTCAATTTTTCCCTCAAGAGGTAAAATTTATAATGGATAATGGAGAAAAGAGAGAAGTGGAAAAAGAGCAAGAGACTAGAAGTGAGTTTGGAAGACAAAGGGACACATCCCAGAAACAGTGAGTTTTAGGGTGTGACTTGAAGGAGAAGCAAAACTTTTATTACCCAATCTGGAAACAGAATATTCTTAAGTGACAGACACCTGAGATTTTGAGGAGTAGGAGAGCTGTGGATGTGCCTGGAACACCAATTCGTGGGAGCACCCAGAGAGTGACAGAGGACGAGGCTGGAAGGAAAGAAGATGAAGCTAGGTTATGAGGAATTTTATTTTGTCACCTGTCAGAATTCATTATGCAGTGATTCCCTGGAAAAGACTTATAAACAGAGTTTGACACCTCTAGGCTTTTTGGGAAAGCTTACTTTTGCATCACTGTGAGAAACGTAATTGGGAATTGATAGGCAAGTCATTAAGAGGCCACTGCAACTTTGAAGACAAAGCTGATGAAGCTCTCTCAGGCCTGATTGGTGGGGTGGATGAAAGGTGCCAGTGTTGACAGAAACCCTAGAAATCACTGTAGGAGAACGGTCAGTTCTGGCAACTAAACAAATGGCAAGGGCATTAACAAAGAAAGACTTCACCCTACCATTTGAGCTCTTCAGGTCCAACCCATTCTTTTAGACCCAAAGTGATGGCCCTTTTCATTACTAACCATCTTTTTCCATCCCTTTCTCCTTAAAGAACATTCCCTTCCCAGATAACAATTCTGGGGTTCAGCACTGGACATGAAGTTATTATTTCATGTATGTTAAGTCTGTTTCTGAACTGGATTGTAGGACTCTTCTCAGGACCTACAACTCATGCGTCTCTATATTCATCCACTTACCATCTCAGTGTTGGCATTTACTGATTCTGACAGGTAGCTGAGACTGTGCTTGCAAGTGAATTTAAGTATAAGTTACATATAAAGTGGAGATGTTCTATTTAAAGGAGGGGGTAGGCAACTCAGAATCCAAGATGTTTGGCCTCCTCCTTTCTAAGCAGCAGTCCCCAATAAACTCCATTGTACCGAGGGTCCCCATAAGACAGTTTGAAAACTTCGAGCTTTGTGGATTGATCATAGGTTTGGAGTCAAATAGATTTGAGTTTAAGCTTCTATCCTGCCACTTTTTCAGCTTTAATAGGGAAGACTGCTGAAGAAACTCTCCCAGCCTTGCTTTTCCCTCGGTAGAACACACATAATACATTTTTAATAGGGTTATTGTGAGGACAAATTAAGATAATGCATATAACAATCTCTGGAAATTATTTAAATGTTCACTAGGTTATGGGTAAATAATGTAGTTGTTGTTGGTAACTAACATTTAAGTGCCTGATCCTTACTGAAACCAGTGCTTGATTGAGATAAAAACTGTATTTATTCTCAGGTTAAAGAAAGTTGGGATTGGGGGAAGTTATGGTAAGCTTGAGATTAGGATGGCAACCAGTTTCATCTTATGTTCTGCCCACTTCATAAATCCATGATTACCTGCCTTTTCATGAGGAGCTATCAATATTTAATGCAAGGGTGTCTGTTGCTGTAAACTGAGCACATCCCTGAACTGACTTAAATTAATCATATGTAGGAGGAGAGACATTAAATGCCTTTTTCTCAGACCCCTAAGTTTCACTGGCTACACAGAATCCTGGAAACCACAGGGTAAAGCTCCTCCTGATGGAGGACCCTGAAAAGAAGGTGAATGAGAAGAGTGATGGCAAACCCCGGAAAGTCCGATTTAAAATCTCCTCTTCCTACAGTGGTCGCGTGCTGAAGCAAGTCTTTGAGGATGGACAGGAATTAGAGTCGCCAAAGGAAGAGTACCCTCATAGTTTTCTCCAGGAGGCTCTTGAACCCATGGATGGTGTTTACGGGTCTGGGGAGCCCCCCAAGTCCTCGTTGTGTGCCCCTAGGCTGACTGCTCAGAGGATCAGTGTGTTCAGAGAAGGCAGTGCCTACACGTTGGCCAGCAGCCAGCCTTTATTCAATGACTACAAGGTGAATGACCATAAGGTTGGTATTGTGCATGGTTATAAGCTTTAAGAATAGGGTTTCCTAAAAATGTTCAGAGAAATACCTAAATGCTTCAAATTTGTTACTTGCTTATGCTCAGCTACCAGCAAGAGTTATAGATGTACCAAATGGAAAGCTGTTATTAGAATAATATTTCTGGGACAAAAATAACATGCTAGTCTACTGCTCATTGGAAAGTGCAATGAGCATAAATAGCGTTCAAATTCCATCCAGGGTAATATATTGTAATTGGGCCTTTGGCTGTATATTCTCCATGTGTAAATTAAACAGAGGTGCAGTGGTTTGCAGGTTGCCAGAGTGCTGTTTTAGAAAATTATGCAGCAGTAGGTGATTTTATTCCTGAAAGAGCTGGGTGTTTGAGGGAGCCCATTTAATCCAGCCAATTACTCAGCTTGTGGTTTACCCATGTCTTGTTTTTTCCTCTATCACCTTCCTACTGCCAGTTTTTAAAAATGTTTGCCAGTTTATTTATTTATTTATCTATTTTCTTTGCATTACTTATTGGTTGGAATGCTGGGAAGAGATAGTGAAAAGCAAATCAACCACCAGGAGATGTTACCTGGAGATGTTTGAACTAATAGTTCCATAGAAGCATGTGTTTCATTTGCAAATTTCAATTGTCTTCTCTTTTACCATTGGTACTCAAAAGTCTATGCATGATTTTCTCTTAAGATAGAAGAACCTGGAAAATTCTCACTGCTTTCTGAGATTCATAGAAGATGTGTATTTGCTTAAGCCAATAGGATCATCAATGCCTTTTTTCTTTCAAAGATTACTTATAATTATACAGTATACCCAGGTAATTAGTGGATAGCACATCAGTATATGTTCTCATCTTTAATGTGTGAAATTGAGACAATTACTCTCTAATCATTTTTATTTAGTTTTCTGAGGGGATAGGCAATGTATCTATTGCAGACAAATATATTGGACTTACTGGCATTGGTAAAAAATATAATTATAGACGTGCCCACAATTACCAAAGGTAATACCAGGTTTCTTTTTGATATTAAAAAAAGCTGGAATAAACAACTCCTCATACTGTTCTAATAACCTATTCCTTGCAAAATGCATCACACCTTATCTCATTTATCTTATTTTATCTTCCCACAATCTTGTGAAGAAAAGCCAAACATAGTCATTCCCATTTTGCAAATTAGAAAAATTCAGTGCCAAGTTGATAAAGGACCTGCCCAGTATCACAAGATTTTTAGGCAAAGAGTCACTCCAAGAATCTAGATCTTCTCATTCATCATATTTTTTGCCCTATGACATATTCCTCTATAAAGAGTGAGTTCCTTTAATAAACATAATCATAATCATACTCCTAGTAACTACCACTTAAGTACTTACTATGTTGTAGGTACTCAGCTGTGTATTATGCACAGTATTCCTTTCAACCTATATCTTACTGTTATATTTAAGTCTTACAAATTCGTATTTCATTTAAACCGTATACAAGGCTATGGTCGATCATTTTGGGTTGCTTCATAAGTGATGTGCCAAATTTGGCATTTATGTAAATGTAAGATGTCACATGGATTTGCAAAACCAGATAAATGAGTCTGTGTGTAGCGTGGCTCAGTTGGCTAGAACACAGTACTCAAGAGACCATTTTGAGATTCTATTTGTTCTCATATCCTTGTTTTCTTTGTTTCCTGGTTAAGATCCATATCCCAGTCCTAACCAGGCTCTAAGACGAGAGGGGACCTGCTGGATTCATGTGGTTCTGCAGACTGAAATTGTTTGGTAATGTGGTATGAGAAATAAGGAAATGAGGCCTTAGATGTCACAAAGGAAATGAGGCCTTAGATGTCATTTTTAAATAGCAAATCCTATTGTGAACTAACTCCTAGCAAATACCAGTATGAGACCATACTGGGTAGTAGCTAAGTACACTGATTCAAAGAAATGTCTTTGAACATGATCATCTATGTTTGCACACAAATGTTCATGGCAATTCACAATTGCCTAGGAGCGGAAGCTGCTTAAGTATACATTGACTGAAGTATGGATAATCTGAATGTAATACACACACACATGAATATTATTCCACTTTAAAAAGGAAAGAAATTTTAATACACTACAACATGGATAAATCTTGAAGATATTAAGCTAAGTGAAATTAAGCATATCACAAAACAAGTATATGATTCTTTTTACATGATGTACCTAGAATAGTCAAATTCGTAGAGACAAAGTAGAATGGGGGTTGGGAAGCAGAAGTTATTGCTTAATGGATTGAAAGTTTCAGTCTGAGAAGACGAAAAAATTCTGGAAATGACCGATGGTGGTGATAGCTGTACAATAATCAGAGAGTACTTAATGCCATTGAACTCTACACTTAGAAATGATTGACATGTAAATTTTATATTATATATATTTTACTATGATCAACATAATAACAAAGCAAGGGCTATGATGTCATCAAACTTGGCCTTGATACCTAGCTCTACCCACTTACTGTGCAAACTTGGGTAAATGTCTTAACTTTGCTAAGCGTCACTGTTCTCGTCCATGATGTGAAAGTAATAGAAGCACCTCCTAAGAGAGTCAATATAATGACTAAAAAACAAAATAAAGTAAAAGACACACTAAGCACTTAGCATTGTGCCTGGCACCTTATATGTATTCAGTAAACATTACTTACCATTGTAAATAGTGCTCAAATAGTTATCGAAGAAATATTGACTATTTGCAAAGTGTATGTGAGAAGTAGAGAAAGTAATTTTAAGCAGTCAGAAGAAGATTTTAAGGAATTAAATTGTTAAGGACTGAAATTGTTAAGGTTTAAGAATAGAAGGAGAAAGGAAGGGACGTAACATTTACTGAACATCCATTTTATATGTATTCTGTAATTCTATCTTTACTATATTTCTATACCTTGTAGAAAGAATTCTACAACAGAACTTTTTATTGGTTAAACAACTTGTACAATCCCACACAGCTGTCAAATAACATTTGAGGAAAATTTGGATCAGCTCTGTCTCCAAATCTCATTAAATCTCTATTACCCAAAAAGGTTAGCATTTGAAAACACAGCAATGGAAAGGTTTAATGCAGCCTGAATCACAATTCCTGGGCTTGTTGCTACTGACCCAGGAATATTTACAAATGGTCCAGCATCACAGGTTCCCATTGTGGACACAATGGAAGGGATTGAAAAATTCCTGGCCCCATCCTGAGCCTCTGTAATACAAGAGCAGCAGTTCCTTGTGAGTAATTGGATGTAACCAGATAATGTGGACTTCAGTTACACCCAGAGAGTTTCCTTAGAAGCAGAGAAGAATTTGGCTGTCAAGACGGGTAAAACTTAAACACACCTTCATGGTAACTGGGGACCCGCTCTCTCCAGAGTACATTCAAAAGTGTTGATTATCCTGGTGTCTCAGATATTGGAGGCAGGGGGCTGGAGCAAGGGATTTTAGAGCCTCTTGCAAAATTGAGAGTTTTGCCTTCAAAAAAAAAAAAAAAACAGGTAAAGAAAAGAAAAATTGCTCTAGATATGAGGAATGCTTGCTGGTAATTGAATCTCTTTGGCTATTAGTGGAAGTAGAAATGGAACCTTCCAAAAGTACCACCATCCTTATCTTCTGGTGTTTAGAAACTGATAGTCCAGAGTGTGAAATAGGAATCCAGTGTGCATAAAATAATAGGAAAAGGAAGCTGCTACATGATCCATGGGGGAGAGGGAGAGAAAACGGGCCAGATAGGAAGCTTGTGGCTTAACAATTAGTTGCTGAAAATGACCTGACTATTTCAAGGAAGGGAACCTGAATATTGAAGTCTTGTTCAAGTCAGGTTTGACTGATGTATGAAAGCTTTGAATGTAAGACTTTAACTGTGGGATCTAAATAGATTTGGTTAATGCAGTTCCATATGCAAAGCAGAATAGTTCATGCTGAGATACTTAGTTGTACAGCGTGAGTATGCATGCAATACTGAAGAACAGTGTTTAATAATAAAAGTCACAATGCACACCTTTACATATTATTTACAACTTTTGCCAAACTTGTTTCATATGTTTTTCTCTGCACTTCCCATTCCCCAGAATTTGATATCATTAGCATCAGGGATTACAATAGAAATATTTAATAACAAGGTTGTTCCCCAATCAGCACAGAAGCTAGCAGAAAGTTGGGCAGCATCCTAGAACTAGAGGTCCTACTCACTGACGCTTATCTACTGGGTTTTGGGATGTTAGAGGTTTCCTGAATGGAGGTTAGGTAACAGAAGGGCACTTGAGGATCTTAGGATAGTACCTACTTAACTATCTAGTGTGGAAACATTTTTATATTTTAGTAAGTGACTTGTCTGTAGCAGAGCTTACCAGGTACATGTGAATTCATTTGCACATGAGCAAACTGGCATTCTGAGAGGTACATGATTCTCTGTGTCTCAGGTAGACAGTAGAATTGGGATGCAATGCTGTTTCCCTGCATGCTTTCCTGATTCTGGTAGAAACATATAATTCTGATCAAGTAATTTCAAAATATTTAGTTCCCAAGTCTGCTGTTATTTAGTATTGAAAGCAACATCTTGTTTGCTCTGCAAGTGCTCTATCACTGAGCTACACCCTAGCCCCTGGCTTCTGCATTGTAGTACTGCTGACATTTGTTCCCAAGCACAAGACTAGCTAACATATGGTAAATCTGTACAAGGGAACATAAGCTATTAATAAGGATGCTTTAGGATATATTTATTGATGTAAAAAGATTTTTATATTAGATGGATAATGATTTTAAAAGGTGACAACAGAAAGTGTGCATTGATTCTATATTTGAGGAGGAAGATGTTGGTGAGTAGTGCAGTATATATGTTAAGAATACGGGCTTTAGTATGACACAGGTTGAGTTCCACGCATAGTGCCTGACTAACTTTGTCACTTTGGTGAGGTACTTAACTTTACTAAAACTCAGTCTTGTTCCCTGTACAATGTAAAAATCATAGCATCTACTTCATAGGGATGTTTGGGGGCTGGCAAGGGGGCCATGCTGGTAAAACGCTTAGCACAATGTCTGACACAGAACTAGTACTCCATGAGTGGTGTCTAATAATATTATATATGCATAGAAAAAATGGAAGAGATATTTGTATCAAAGTTTCTTTGTGTTTATAAAGCACTTATTGTGCCTAACGCTGTATTGGCTACTCTGGTTATGTGGAACATCTAGACTTTGCCTTCTGGAATCTTATACTCTGAGTAGTTGAAATTTTATTGTTAGCATGAATGAGAAGAAGGAAACTGGTTTTCATGGCTTTCAGAAAGAATAGCAAGCATGCAATGAACTATAGCTTTGGAGTGTGATGGCATTGCAAGCAGTGCCCAGTAGGAATCCCTTCTCTCCTGTTTCCTGGGGTGTGGACAGGTCCTACAACCCTGTGTAAGGTGATTGGTGGAGAAGGTTTCATGCTCATTCTCCATTTCTCTAGCCCCCACCTATCATAGATTTTGGAAAGATAATCATCTACACAAATAACCTGAAAATCATTCGGACCCCAATGGATAGGAGGGACTTCATGAGGAAAATTCTCCAGAAGGAAGGGGAGGCTGAAGAAGAGTCCCTGATGAGCAAGGAAGAAAGCTATGGAGACAGAGACCAGAATGATGGGCCTTTGGAGGATGGCAAGTTCCCCGCTAATCCGTACACACAGGTGCGTCTGGGTGCCAGCCTGTCCCAGTTGATGGGGCAGGCCTGGTTGGTGGTGAACTACTTAACTTTTGAATAAGATACTTACAATGCTGAAGTACTAAAGATGTAAAGGAATTTTAATGTTTTATTATGTCATTAACCATAGATGTTAAGGCCACTTTTCAAATACTCATTATCTTTTTTGGGGGAACGGACTGCTTTTTCAGATCTGATTAGGGATTTCTTGTTTTCACTGTGTAGTGTGGCTATGAACAGCTAGTCCTAGAGATGGAAAAAAAATCAGTGCTGTCTTGTCCTCATGGGTTCACTTGTGTTTTCTATTATTGATACAATCTTTAATCCACAGCCTCCTTGAAGACATTGCTGAAGCCACATGTCCATTTTGCAGATTATTTAGTTAAATTTAAGCTATATCATTTGCAGTGAATGTGTCCAGGCACAAGCAGACTGCATGCAGTGTGTTGCATTATACTGAAGTGAACACATGATCTGTGTGCTACTGTTAGCAACTTTGAATGTTATGTGACCCCAGGGTCCCTGGACTGGCTGACCTAGTGAAGCCATTAGTGTTAGTTAGTCTATTAAAATTTGGTGTAAAATTTCTTTAAAAACAGTAAAGCTTAATTTCTTGCCTATTTTTAGATTAAGTAAATATAAATAGCTATAAAGTGTTGTCCCTGTAGCCCATGCCACCTTGGAAACCATTGCTTTGGCTTGCTCAGACAAAGGACATGGGACAACAGGGCTGGTATTCATTCGTTTTCAGTGAGTTGGAGATAAGGAGGCAATATTGATGAATTTACACTAAGAGAGTAAAAGCTTGGATAGCGGGAGAATTGAATTTGCTGTCTCTTAGACCCAGTTGTGGGCTCACTCTTGTCACTTGTGGGTTGGTGTGGAAACCTGGTGAGGGGTTTTCTGAAACCTGAGTGACCTCCCTGCCCTGGGTAGGTTATGGGGTCAGAGGTGGGCTTTGGCTGGTGGTGTTAGGTCAAGACACCAGGACTCTCTGCTCGCTCATTTCTCTTAGGTTGCACAACCTCTCCACAACCTCTTTAGAATTCCCTTTCTAAAGGGGAATTCACTCTCCCTGTACCTCAGCACAGACTACCTGGGCTCCTGCCAAAGATGCTTAAAGTTTTATTCACATCTATTCATGTTTCTTTCCCACTTGCTATTATCTTCAATAAAATGGTCTTGTCATGAAAGTCTGATTTCATCACCCCCTTCTTATATCTTTCACCCCTCAAAGCTTTTAATGTCCTCTTATTTCTTGGACATTTCTTTTGTCAGTGGCACCCACAATCTAAAGGAGGAAAGGTTTTTTTGGCCCGTGATTTCAAAAGATGGAATCCATGGACATTTGGCTACAAGGCAGAGATACAGTGGCAGGGTGGTATAACAGATGAAAGCTGCAGGGGGACAGGGCCAGAGAGGAAGGGCGAGGGCCAGACAGAGTGTACAGGTCACGCCTCTGTAAGCCACCTAGACACACCCAGAAGTGTGTTTTGCCAGTCTCCTAGGCCACTCCCAAGCCAATCAGGTTGAACTGTCACAGGATAAAAAGGGAAGTCCTTATTTGTTCTAGAAAGCTCTGCTGGCATCTCCAGCCTCATCCTGTGCACATTTCCCCTCACGCTCTCCCCGCAGACACACTGTCCACCTATCCACCGCTCACGTGTTCTTTACTCTTTCTCATGAAGGGAAAATGCCCTCTTCCTGGAAGTTTTCCTCGGTTCTCTGCCAGGTTGTCTTGCCTCCTGCACCTGATGTCAGGTGGCGGGCCTCACCCTCACAGAAAGATCTTCTTTGGCTTTCATGAGGATAAAGTCTTCTGGGCTGGGCCGCTCAGGGGATTCTGCCCTCCTTATAGTTGTAATGTTTCCTATGTGCGGTTATTTGGTTAATAGTTAATCTGACCCACTAGGATTTGGTTTCTATAAGGGCAGAGGCCATGTTTATATTGGTTGCAACATTGTAGTTCCAATGCCAAGATACACAGAGCTCAGCATATAATAGATGCTCAGTAAACATTAAATGTTTGTGGGAAGAATAGTAAAATTTGAGACCAGAGAAGTACTTTACTATTGTTCTCTATTATCTTCTATGCAGAATTATTAAGAACCTAGCAAGGCAGAAGGCAGACAAATGAACACTGTGATCTGATCATTTCCCCCTCTTAAAATTCTTTAATTACATCATTTCTCTTGCCATTTGTAACCTGCAGGAGCACAATTTTCAGAAGAAGGCCAGAAATGGTACAGTGCAGGTCACACTGAAGACCTGAATGAAAAAGCAGCAGCAGGCCTGATACGGCAATTAGCTTTAAATTCACTTTGGAAGGATCTGTGTTTTTTTTAGCTACAGAGCTGTAAACTAGGACAGAGCGGTGCAGTGGAAGGTTGCCGTGAAAGGTTATACTTCACTTGTCTGTCCTTTAAATTCTGTTTTAAATTACTATTTGTTTGTGCAATCCCTCATGCAATCAATGCCCAGACAAGTTTTATTCTGAAAGAGAGGGTCAGAGAACATCAAGGAGCCCCTTCTGACAGAGAGATTCTTTGTTCTGTTGCACGGAACCGAGCAGCGGCGAGAGCCTGACGGGAGAGCAGGGCAAGGCTGAGAGCCAGCCACGCTCGAACCTCTGCACCAACTAAAAGAGAAGGAGAACAATAATTGAATCGGGCCACAGTAAAATGTGCAAGGAGAATACCATCTGGCACCGTGCTCAGTGCATTGGAGGCTATAAATCATCTGTGCTTTCTTACGCTTTATGTGATCTCAGCTTTAGACAGTGATCATGATGATGGTGATAATGACAACGTCTGCCGTGTACTGAGGGTGCACAGGAGCTGGATACTGGCCCAGTGCATCTCACACAGTAGTCCATTTTACTCTCACAAGGCTGCTGAGATGCAGGTATTACTAATAGTCTCAGTCTGTGGCTGGGGAAATTGAGGCCGAGAGATGATCAGTAACTTGACAGAAGTTACACATCCATTTGTTTGCCAAGCTCATGATCATGTCAGCTGCCCTGAGGTCTCCAAACTGGCTGCATAAGCGTTTAGACTTTACTTTTATTGCTTTTGACTGCTGAGTAATATAGTCTGGATGCAATTTAAAAAAAAAATCTTGAAAGTAATATATTTAACCAATTAAAATATTTATTTGTAAAAAAATAAGCTTTTGAATCTGTGATGAATACTAGCATGCTTCTCTTTGGTAGCTGGGCCAGGAAGAGGTAAATTGAGTGAGGCAACTAGGTTCTGGAATCTAAGCTTTGCTGTGTGGCTGTATTTTACATCCTCTCATGAAATATCTCCTGAGAAAAGTTTTAGAAAATATTGAGAAAAGAGAAAGAAAGCTTATATTTTTTGTGCCTTGTATAAAAGAGGATTCTTTCAATATTTGTTCAATTAATGAAATGATTAAAAAGAGCGCGTTAAAGGTAAGTGATTTAAGAGAGTGGCAGCACAGGACAAGAATGGAGACTCCTAATAGCATACCCTCGTCATGACCTAAAGCCATGACCACATGACTTTAGATGTCATTTGATTGAAAATTTCTTTTTGTTCTCTACAATAAGGCTCACCAGGTCATTTCACAATATCTGACCTGACATTTTATACAAGTGAATTTTTGGCTCACATGGATAGCATTATAGCAGTGTTTATTGTACTTTATTTGACAGTGTTGATTTATATCATTAACATCTCACTGGAATCAAACACAAAACATAAAGCATACTGAATTTGGCAAAACAAATGGATCATGATAGTTTGCTTTAAGAATATTTTGGCAAATACATTTATTTTGGATACTTTAAGGAAAGAAAAAATTTCTCCATTGTTAATATATTAAACATGCCAATGATCAATGAAATATTAACAGATGAGTGCACAGTATGAGTTTCCTGCCAATTAAGTAATCACTTCCATTTCCTAAATCTAGTGAAAGTTAAATTTAATACCTGCATAAGTACTTTGTAACATAATAGAGTCATTTTTGAAACATGCCTCCCTTTTCAGACATTTTTTTTCATCCTTAGGTTATAAAACACAAGGGTCTTAGCTGGGTGGAGCTATCCAACGGACTCCAGCTGTCTTGCTTCTAGAATTTAAGAGCAGGAATGGTTCTCTACACATCATTGTGAACGACGAGTATTGTGGCAGGCACTGTGCTAGAGGTTCAGGAAGCAGTGGTGGAAAGGTCCTAGCCAGGGAGCACTCTGTCTAGCTGGTGGGAGAGTTTGGTAGAGCAGGAGGTGGGCATGCTGGGACCAGTGCCCAGCCCTGGGTGGGTTCCTGGAGAAAGAGGTGTTCAGCTAACATCTGGGAAGTAGCAGGAGGTGGTCAGACTGGCAGTGAGGAAGTGTCCCTGGAGACCAGGTTCAGAGAGACCCAAAGACAAGAGTCTGACAGAGGAAGTGAAAAATAAATTAAACCAGTTGAGGAAGTAGGGTTTCATCCTTAGGTTTTATTTGGTAGGGAACTTTCCTGAGTACTTTCCATGTAGTAACTACAATATAGATGCTTATTAAGAGTGGCATCGTGGGAGAAGATCCCTGAACAGGCAGGGCTGCACCCTTAACTCATAGCCAGAGTAGGTGGGCATCTGGGCGAGGGCTGTGAGTGAAGGATGGAGGAAAAGGGATGAACTTGAGAAGATGTGTAGGAGATAAAATGGTCAGGACGTGTTACTCCGTTTGCCTGGTGTTGATCCGGTGCGGCCCTCACTTCTCAGGAGACTCACAGTTTGGAGAGAATGCGAAATTGTCAGTTTCCTTGAGATTTTTTTCAGGGGCAAGACAAAAGGAAAGGAGCATTTTCTGGAGAGTGAGAGTAAAGCACTAAAGACTCGTTAGCAAGGGTTAAAATGGAACTGAGTTTATGGGGAACATGATAAGCCAGAGAACACTGCATTTACATATATTTTCTCCAATTTAATATCAAGCTACTAAGAAGTATAAGTATTATTCATTCTCATTTCACAAGTAGAGATGCAGATTAGGGAGAGGCTAAGAGGAATTGTCCAGAATGTGCAACTGACCTTAGACAGTAGCTTTAATCCCAGGCCATTGGCTCCAGAGCACAGAGCTCTTGCTTTTTGAGCTTTATACAGTTCTCAAAGAGAATAAAATATTTCATATTTCAGAGGTAGGTTTTGAAGGCTAATTCATTCATTCATTCTCTACTTAATCTGTTAGTCACAATCTTTCTGGAACATAATGTAGGTCAGCTATGAGGAGAAGCTGTGTACACTATTATTAGGAGGGTAAATGCTGGCACTCAGCCTCCTGAAGTGAAAATCCGTCCCCTGCTCTTCCACACTGTGTGTGTAACATCAGCAATTAGCTCTCAGCACCTCATTTCCTATGTGTAACAGGGCTGACAGTACTCATGCCTCCTCCCTGGGACATTGTGAGGATTAGATAGATTGACACCCCAAAGCTCTTTGAACACCCTGGTGCCTACCAAGCATGCTACAAGGGTTTACTATTAGTATCTCGCCATGAGGGAGAGAAAATCTTTACCCTCATGGAACTTATAGAAAAAACATGTCAAACGTTAACAAGGTTGAAGAAGAATGTGAAGTCTTGGAATGCCAGATGTGCCGTCAGAGGGTGCCGTCTCAGAGATGTTTATCCTCTCTGATAAAACAACAGTGATTACTTCGTGTTCCAGCCAGTGTCTCTTCTGGCACTTGGGAGAAGCAGTTCTCTCCAATTTTGTCTTACACCTTGCCACAATCTAGTACAGTATTGATCTACTGTGAACAGTGGACTTGAGCTGCTGCTCTCCTAAAACCTGACCTGTCTTTTGCAGGATGGGCAGCTTCCCGACGACAACTGTTTCCACTGCCGAGGGTCCGGCAGTGCTACCTGCTCTCTGTGCCACGGCAGCAAGTTCTCGATGCTGGCCAACAGATTTAAGGAGTCCTACCGGGCCCTGAGGTGCCCTGCCTGCAACGAGAATGGCCTGCAGCCTTGTCAGATTTGCAGTCAATAGCTGTGGATTTTGCATGTCCACTATTATTGTACCCTTCCTATTGTTTTTCTAATAAACTGCGCCCTCTTCTTCCCGCTGTCTGCAAGAAAGCCAATGCAACTGCAATCACTTCCACCACTGGCAAAACTCAGTTATTTGATGACATTTTAAGAGGCTGATAACATCTCCATGTGGGTCTAAGGAACAGGGGCATTTTCGAATTAGTCAGCTTTGGTTCTAAAATGATCTGTCCAGGAATGTGTACATGTATATCATTTGACATAGCTGAGTTTTCTTCTTGCACCAGTGAACAAATAAATGTACACATCAGGCAGAAGATTGAAGTCATTTTCTGGTTGGGAGTTCTTTTGCAAAATTATTCAATGAGAAAGGAATAAAAAGATACATTTCTGATGAACTGAGTTCCTGTTGCTTATAATGCATCTGAAATTGTCTTTGGTCAAACTCAATTTTTTAATTAAGCAGAAGAAGGAAGGAATAACTAATGCTGGCGGGCCGCAGCGAGCAAAACATATGTTAGTTCCAGAGAGGCAAGGTGGGGAGGCCGTTCCTTCCAAAGTCTCTTCTGAGTGGTGCACTTGGGTAATTAACCATCCAGGCTGTGAACAGCACCACTTCAGTAGGTCAAGATGAAATAAGACCATTTTGCATGCCTCTAACAGTTGAGGTCATAAGCCAAGTCAAAGGTACTAATGACAGATTTGGTGCTCAAGTATGTGTGATAGGACTCTTCCAGCCTCTGAATGATTCCCGAATAAATAAATCTGTTTTAGACATGAGAATCTAGGCACAATTTCTTTACAATGGACTGCAGATATTGTGTAGGTAGCTACTGGAAATCTCTAAGGGAAAAAGTAACTAATGTTGATTGTTGGCAATTATGTTTTCTACTGTGCTTCGTAAGGATGATTCTTTCCTCTTGAAGTTGGTTAGGAAATTTTGAAAAAACACGTTTGTTAATGAACTTTTGTATCTCTAGCACCCACTCCCATATTCATTGAGAATAATATTGTAAAATCTGTTCTCTTCTATAGTCCTTGTGAATAACACTGTAAAATCTGTTATCTGTTGAGTCTCATTGCTTTTCTAGGACAATGATTTTGATTTTATAACAATAAATTTTCAAGAGTTGTTTATTATTCTCTAATAATCAGCTGCTAAAATAATTTAGGAATGGAATGCTTTTGGGGCAATATAGATATTCTAATAAAGCAGCTGAATATGTTTTCCGAAGTCGTCAAAGATGATGTTCCTGTCATCTCTTACTTTTGCTCACCAGCCTCCTATGCTTCAGTGGTCTCCTACCTCTGTTTTTTCCTGTAGCTATGAACTATTCGGCTTTTCCACAAAAAAGGAGTGATACCTTTCTGTATATTTGCTGCTTTTAAACAGGAACATTTGATTGCAAATAGAGTTTAAAGGCAGTACTGCTAGTTTCTTGATATATAGATACCCAGAGAGGCAGTGGCCCTCTGGTACCATGAATCTTACAATTTCAGTAGATGTGTAAAGAAATAATTAAAACATAGTGAGACAGTAAGGAAATAATTAAAACACAGTGTGACTTTAGTGGCTTGACTTCAGGCTCAGTGTTGTACCATTTTCCGTTTTGTTCTCCTGTGTAGGGTGATTATAACTTCCTGCAGGTGCTAATCTTTGTATCTGAATCCTGCTATACATTCCCTGCGTTTGAAATCTCTAGACTGGCTTCTGTCTTCCTGATTGGATGCCAACTCATATGAATGTTTGGAGCAGGGGAGGATCGTGATCTGATTTTTTTAGCAGGCCACTCTGGCTGCTGTTTTGAGAGAAGATGCTATAGGCAAAGGATGCATGTGGGAGGCAGCTAGGAAATGTTGCAATCATGGGGGGACCAATGTAGTAAAAAGGAGTTGAACTATGGATACATAGTATTTTGAGAGGAGAGCGACAGGGCTTGTCCACAGTTCTTTGCATGTAGAAATAATATTTATAATCCCCTTTATGCAAACTGTATATACCTGAGTTCTTTCCTACTGCTGGATGTATGCTTGCACTAAAATATTATTTCCAATTTGTAAAATCCAAATATTTGTCAGTGGGTTGGCAGAATTGAGATAAGTTTAGGGCAAAGCTAGCCAACTCATGTGCCTAGGAGTGTGAGAACCCCTTTAGAGATAGAAACAAACATGAAGATTTAAAAAATCATCACAATGATGCTGTGATTAAATAACACTATATCATGAGTATAATCCCAGGATTTAAGGGACTGTGGGAGGATTGCCTCTAGTTTGAGTTCAGACTGGGCTGCCTAGTGAGTTCAAGACAAGCTTTAACTGCCTAGTGAGGCCCTGCCTCAAAAAGACAAACAGAAATAATATTATACCCTTTGAGAACTCAAAAAAATTTTAGATGGATGCATGTCTTTAAAATTTTAACATTTATTCATTCATTTCTCACTGGATTTCTACTATGTTCCAGATACTTATATGAGGTTCTCAGAATACAAAGAGAAAAATAAAACACTTAGTATTTATCATTACTGAGATTAGAGTCTTGCAGCTTTGGTGGAATGAACTTCACCTTACAATTTGAGAGAAACACGGTTGCTAACCACTGGAAACTTTTGTTTCCTCTACTTGGCTACTTTGGCTGGGCCTGGTTTGATGACTGTGTATATTTAACATGCACATATCAGCCTTATTGTATGGAGGATCATGGTTTAAGCATTTCCTACTTGCCAATTCCTTGATTACCTTAACAATGAAATTAATTCAGTTCACCCGATCACTCTGAGTTTCATATATTCTTTGGACACCAGACCCACCTGGAGTGAATATCAGGCACTTTCTATAAACCTCACAAATACGCCTTCCACAGGTCATGCAGAAGTCAAACTGATCTAAAAATGGTACAGGCTTCTGGGACTAGCATTGCATAGCAGTAATGAGTAGCCAGACTGTGCTAGCCACTAGAATGCCCAGCTGTCTCCTCCTTCCTTCTAGCTCCCATCTTAGTCTACTCCTACTCCTACATCTGTCAGCAGGATGACTCATCTTTTTGGCCCCTGTTCCCACCCGTAGTTTAGCCTCTAGGAATCTCTGTACATTACACACCAAGCCCTGCATCCTTTCCCAGACCTTCATGGAAGACATTTGTGGTTTGACATGGCAATATATTCCTCTCCCAGTCTGTCTGGAGATTTTGCGAGGAAGGAAAAAGTACTTAGACCTTAAAACCTTTGCCTATAGGGCAACCTAGCATTCTTTCTTGTTTTTATTTTAGCTTCCAAGTAAGGTATCTATTGAAGAGTGAGCTGCACATTTAAACATTTTTTGAAAACAACATTTTGCATTAACTTTGTGATCTATAATTTACTCTCTAAATTAAACTGACCCAAAACATCAGTCAAACTTAGGTCATAGGGAAGATGATGTTTTCTTATTATAAATCTTCCACAAATATGAATTGCTGTGGTAATATATTCATTTAGATGAGTGCTGGTGACATTTCTTTAAAAACAAACTCAGTGGTGCACTCAAGCTTATTCAGAGTGAACTTCATACTAAAAGCAAATCTGAAAGAAATGTTCACACTTGTTTTTATCACCTGTCCTCATTAGTTGCATCTCCTCATTTTCTAATTAAACACAGTGATTATAGAGAGTTCATATTCACGCAATTATGACAGAGAGAAATGAAATTATGTCAGTATCAAAGTTGTGGCATATAATTACAGCTTGTGTTACAGAACACATACAATCCGGAGAGAAAGCATCCGAAACCATCATGCAGTATATCTTCTTTAGTGCTTGAAATAGGCAGTAATGACATCACAACAGACAGCAAATGGTAGGAGGGACCATTGAATCAGGGTTTGCCAAAACTAGAATCAGCCTTTTTTCTTTTTAAACATGAGCTTCCTCATTGTGCAATTCTTCTTAGGATCACTTTTATCTGGCTCCAAAGACCTATTTCCCACCAGTGCTTATTTATCAGAAGATTGGGGCCATCAGATTATATTAAGGTGTACCAGGGATTAGCTCAGTGGTGCAAGTTCCTGCCTGGCAAGCACAAAGTCCTAAATTCAATTCCAAGTACAAAAAAATTATACTGAGATATAAATGGCTTATAGATAATTGACCATATCTACTTTTTTGAGGTTCAAAGTGTTACCTTTTTTGTAGGTCTCCTATGTGTCAGTTACAAGACACAAACATGCACAAAAATGAAAGAGACATTGTATCTACTTTCAAAGATATCATAGATTCACAGGGAACCAGAGATTTAAATGAATATTTAAAAAATAAAGTGACAAATGTCAAGAAAGGAAGAGAGTAGAGAGTAGTTAACTCTCTTTTTTAAACGTTGGATTCCCTCCTCAGCTATGAGACTCATCCATTACTGGCATGTTTGGATTCAATAAAGACTTGGTGATTTATTGTTTGTAGAGATGATGTTGGTCCTGCAGGACCTTTTGTGTATTACTATCTTATGAGCTGATGAATTAGGAGACTTTCACAAGTGAATAGCTCCTGAAATGATTTCCAGTGATCCCTGCCTCCTGAATTTCCTAGCCATGTAGAGATGCTTCCTCACCTTGAGTTTAAACTGGTAACAATAGGATATGACAAAAAATGATGTGATGTCATTACCGCCTGTAACTCTTTTGATCTCTGCCTATGGCTCTCATTGTTTGCTCAACAGATGAAGCCAGCTGCATTTGTGAGGTGCCTCCTTGACAGATCTAGGTGATAAAGGGCAGCAGGTGGCCAGCAGCCAGAGGAGGATAAGAAGTCTCAGTCCACAGCTAGCCAGGAACTTGGTCCTGCCAATGACCACATGAGTGCATCTAGAAGGGACTCCTTCCCAAGTTGGACTTAAGATGACTTCACTCTGGGCTGACATCTTAACTGCAGCCTGAGAAAAGCCTGGAGATCAAACCCTTTAGCCAAGTCCTTCTCAGATGTCAGATCTTGGGATTGCAAACAGAGATAATAAATACTTTGAGTCAGTAAGTTTGGGGATGATTTGTTACCTGGGAATAGGTAGCTAATACAAAGTAAAGCACCTTTCTCTAGGTCCTTTAGCTTTTTGTGGCTAAATTTTTTTTTTTTTTTTTTTTTTTGCAGAGGGAGAAATATATCCAACGATTGTGCTTTGTTTAATGCTTAATTGATTATTTTTGTTTGTTTGTTGAGACAGTATCTCAGTATGTAGTGAGTGTGGCCTTAAACTTGCTTATGTAGCTCAGGCTGGCCTCAAACTCATGGTGACCTTCCTGTCTCAGCCTTCTGAGTGCTGGGATTACAGACTTGTGCCACCACACCTGGCTTTAATGCTCAGGTTATTGAGCTCATGAATCAGATGTCCAAAACTGGAAACCAATTTCTCTTGAGGCCTTTAAACATTGATTACAAATG